CCCCCCGGCCCGGCCCGGGCCCGGCACCGGGATCGCAAGCCTCGGCGTTGCTCCCACGCCTCGCTCAGCCAGTGAGCGGGAGCCGGTCTGCACGTGGGATCCGAACCCTCGGACGGGAGCGCCGCCGCGCTTCCCAAGCGGCGCACTATCCAGTGCGCCACCGGGCCGGCCCAGAGATAAATTTTTTAATGATGCATTTAAATATTTATTTTTAATACGTCAGTGTTTGAAATATTTTCCTTCTAACACACTCCTTTCAAGATTCCACAGATAAAAATGCTTATGCTTTGTGTCTAAAGCAACACAATATCCTTTGGATGTTATTACACTACACTCTACTGACTTCCTGGCTTTTAACCAAAAAGGCAACAACAGCATCATAGTATTGACATCTTTAAGCAAAATTAAAGTGTTTTAAGGAAAAAGAAAGCCCTATATACTGAACACTGAAATTTTTCACAGGTGATGCACTAACCTTAATTACAAGAAGTTAGCATGCTCTCTTAAGTAAGCAAATTTTAAATAATTACTGTGAAGAATAAAATAGCATCTGCTAAACAATGACAAGTATGTGTCCCTTCTGTAAATACTTACTACATTAATCGTATCAGAGCTGGGAACCTGCAGTAAGTTCTGCTGGTGGAAACTTGTGGAGAGGGCTTGAGACTCGAGTGTACTAGAATCTTGTAGCTGTTGGACAGGTGGAAACTGAGTCTGCTGACTGTATGTATCAGTCACTGTAAAACCTGAAATATATGAGAATATAGGAGTTCTACAAAAATTTAAAGTTAGCAAAAAAATTTTTAAAGGTGGGTTTTTAAATAAAAAATGAGTCCCAATTTCTACTCAATTGCCTTGTCTTGGCTAGATAATAAGTGTATAATGGTTGTAAAATTTGCTTTCCAGAAGATCTGAGCAGACCACAAGATAGTAGGTATCAATTAAAAAAAAAAAATTATACAATGCATGCAAAAAGTAATTTGGTTTGAAACCATAAATTTTATAAGGGCCTTAAGAGAAACACCTGAGGGTGTTGTAAAATTCAACCCAACCTAGGTACAGCTCATTTACAAACTCCACTGAAACCTACCACTGACCTTGTGAGAGCCCTGCAGGTTCAAAGGACTGCTGTGCAGGAGTCTGCTCTTCAAACTGGTCCATGTGCCCTGGCAGAGGGTCCTGTGGAGCCACAAACCCATCTAAAGGTAAGAATGCAAAGAGAAGGAGGACTCATATACTTGGAAGTTATTTCACATCTACCAATCTGTTCAAAAGTACACTTCAGTGAGTTTCAAAAATCAACCTCCTTATTGCAAAAAAAACAATAGGAAGGCAAAATATATATACAAGGGTACTTCAAAAAGCTTCTGGAGAAATAGAATTGAAAGACACTACAAATCTTTCCATGAACTTTTTGAAGTACCCTTTTATATAGTATGATTAAAGCATTATCTTTGTACTTCCAAAATATCACCTAAAGTCTCTACAGTTTGTCCTAAAACTTAGATATTGTTCTGTAAAGTAATATTCTAAAATGCAATTACATTCAATAATATTTAAAACCTTTTTGGGTGTGCACTGTTACAGGCATCGTAGGGGATAAAAAGAATTCAATCCTGCCCAGAGACTAAACAGGTCAGCAAATTATTGGTTAACAGACTCTTTTGAGATAAGAAGCCTGTGCCAGAATACAAATCAACTATGTCACTAAGTATGCTGTCTACAGTTGCTGACATTTTTTGTAGCCAGACTTTATTGATGAAAGAAGCAATGTGTTGCTTTATATGCTGGACCAGGAGCTAATCTCTTTGCACTGACCTGCATCAGTTTGTGAATCTACATTAGTGTATTGCAGCAGAACCATAATGGTCACACAGATGTACACATACAAGGTAAGACGTTCTCCATATATTGAGGGATAAAAGTAAATTACCAAAAAGTACACATAGAAAGACCCTGTTTCTACAATTCTATATACATACCAAATGCATACAAGGGGTCTTCAAAAAGTTCATGGAAAGATTTGTATTATCTTTTAATACTATTTTTCCATGAACTTTTTGAAGTACCCTAGTGTTCTCTCTCACACACACAGACACACAAATATATGCACAAACATGCCTGCACATTTACATGGAAAAAAAAAAAAAATGGAAGAGCCTACACCAAAATATGAACAACAGATTTTGCTGTACTCTTAAGATTTCAAATACTTTAGAAATTTCCTACCAAAAAGTCGGATTACTTTGTGTTTAAAAAAAAAAAAAAAAAGACCTGCTCTCAAAAAGCTTAATAAAATTGAAGAGTAAAAATCTATTTAAAGAGCATGTGGGAGAATATAACGTATTCAATATCACGCATGTAAACAGACACAGCACAAAATGGGATTTGAAAAGTCAGAGGTGAGAGACACCCGTGGACTGCAGGGAGTGCGCAAAGGGCTGTAAAACCCTGTGCGGATCATTCCAAAAGTTAAAAACACCAACATATTGACCTTCGTCTGCCTCCAAAGGCGGATCAGTCAGCTGCTGACCGAGCCCGGCCTCCTCTGTGCCCACGACGTGCGGTGGCTCCAGCTCGAGCATGGCCTCGGGGTGTGTGGGGTCCACCTCCGCTGTCTGCTGCAGCGTGTCACTTTCGATCTCCACATGCATCTGCGTGGACACCTGCACACCTTGCTGGTCCCCGGCGCCCTCCTCCATCGAGGCAGCCTGCTGATGCTGCTGCAGCTGCTGAGCAAGTTCATATCTGCAGAAAAATCAGAGACAAATCATAGAATTAGATGCTGTCAACAGTGACTTGTGTGGGATACTACTGTGAAAGTTGTAATTTATTACAGAACTTTCTTATTCTTAAATTATACCACTTTTAAGCCATGACAGCAATCCAGATAAAAACTGAACACTATTAACAATTCTGAAGAATATCACATTTCTTTAGCTTTAAGTGCTTTTGCAGGTTGCAGGACATGATGGCACGCAGGGAGGGCGAAGGACAACACACACCAGAATCTTTTAAAAGTTTTACAAAATAAAAAAGACACATGTTTAAAAGTAAAACTCTCCCTGCTCAAATTCTGCAATGAGTTAAAGTATTCAGAAAAGGAACTGCACTATTAAGGCAGTGCCATTATAGACTCATCTAAATGAGATACCCAAATGTGGTGCACAGGCAGGGAGGGCCACGTCCCACAGGGTACCGGCCACAGACGTGTCGTTTGACCAGTTGTCAACTATGTTACAAAACACAGACTATGAGGCACATGGCCATTATGATCTTCTCATGTTAATGTTGCTTTTAGCAACCTTTATATATATACAAAATATATCCAGTATATATTCATCAAGGTAAACAACTTCTCTTTCAAAGAGAAAGATGAACAATAAATTCAGTGAATGAATCCAAGAACTTAAAAAAACCTCAAACAATGACCCGATTAACAGGCTAGGTAACGTGTACAATATCTGAGATGACAGTCATCTGTTCCCTCTTTCACAGGTCCTGGCCAGGCCCATACCAGCTCCATCACATGTTCTGTTCCAGTGTCTCATCAATCTCCCACTTAATAAAGGTAACCAATCTAGCAACTGCACTACTGGACACTGGGTCCACAAATAAGGACCTTAAAACCCATATTCCCAACACTACCTCAAAAGGTACATTGGAAAAGCCTGGCTTCCTGACAGAAAAAAATATTATGTTAATATTAACATGCCACTGAGCAACCCAGTGCCTATCTCCACTCCTCCGAGCATGGTACAGCTCTTGGGCCAACTGTGGACTGGTCATCCTGCTACAGTGAGTCGAAATACGAGCATCCTGAACATCTACACAAACATGGATTCCCTAGTTCCCAAATACATGTATGGCATGGTCTAGCATTTCATCCAGTTATCGACCCATCAGCTTTGAAAGAGAGCCTATAAAGCACTTAACCCACAAACTACTTTAATATTATATTAAAAATAAAAAAGTTAATGCTTTAGTTTATGGCTCTCAATAGATACTTTGACACTGATACTTAAGTTTCTTTAGCCCATATGTTCCAAGCTAGAAATAACAGTACAGGAATCAAAGACAATTATTTTTTAAAAACACTCTCCAACACCATCTGGGAATATGAAGACTATTAAAAAGTGACCATCAGAATTATACATACCTATGAGTTTTCATGTGCTTTTTGCAATTTAGTGAGGTCTTAAATGTTTTCTGACAATAGGGGCACATATAGGGACGAAGGTCATTATGTATACCCATATGTCGCCGTAAGCTACCACCAGTAGTGAAAGCTCCATTACATATTAGACACTTGAAAGATTTTAGTCCGGTGTGTGTTCGGATGTGTGCTTTGAGCACTCCTGCAGAAACAAAGCCTCTTCCACACTGAGAACATTTAAAAGGTTTTTCACCTGTATGTGACCTAAAAAGAAGAAAAGTTTTAATAAGTAAGTTTGTCACACTCTCATAATGCTTTATAACTAGAATACATTCTTCTGCATTATTTTACTTGGTCATTATACTAAGCTAAGCAGCAAAGACGTAGCTCTCCACACTTTGCAAATGAGAAAACCTGAGACACAAAGTGGTTAAGTGACTTGCCCAGAGTCACACAGCTAGCACACAATTGAGACAAAACTAGAACCCAAGTCTTCTAAGCTCTTCACTTTCTTCATGCTATCAAACTGTCTCTCATGACCAAGTTTCTTCTTTCTTTTCACTGTTGCTAACACCAAGAAAAAAATCTAAACTCTGATGAATACACCTGAAACACTTAAACATAATTGTAATGAAATACACCAAATACTTCCTTGGTATTTCCTGGAAATGGCAAATATTAAAATATATGGGAATATAAATAAAATTAAGCTGCAATTTCTGGATATTTTAGTCAAAACACTAAAGAATAAAAATACTAATTACCAATAAATATTCTGAGATTAAATATTTTGAGATTAAAATAATAAAAGCTAACATTAACACTGTAAATATTTTCAGAAGTCACTGGTCACTAAATTACTACAATTATACTAAATTTCCATCTCTGAATCTATGTTACCTTACCTGATGTGTTGTTTAAGGTGGCAAGATTTTTTATATGCACGATGACAGTAAAAACACTTGTAAGGTCTATCTGCTTCACTTACAAAATTATTATTAAAATAACTTTGGAAAAATTGGTTTCTTGGAATGGGCTGGATAAGACCTACAAACCAAAAGAAAACAGGAATAATGCACTGTCAATGCTACTAATAAAATTAAATGTCAAAAGATATCTGCTTTACCCAGAAGATGAAAATTCTCATCTACAAGGGTATGTCAAAAACTTCATGGGAAGATTCTTATTATCTTTTAATTCTATTTTTTCCATGAACTTTTTCAAGTGCCCTAGTATAGATTCCAATGTTGCAACTAAATGCTATTTTAACTGTTAGGAAATGGCTATTTAAAGAAAACCTTTGAGAAAATATTTATGAATTAATATACTATTTTTTCAACATGAGGAATATCGATATTTTCACGATTACTTCCCTTGATTCTACCAGCCAATTTTTAATGGATTTCTACATTTACTTCCTATACGGTTATTTGCTGACATGTAATTAACATAGCTATGTCCAAATTTTAGGTTCACTGGGATTTTAAGTCCCTTATTTATTCAGTATAAATACTACACGCTAGATATTATAATAAACTCAAAACATAAATGATTTCTAACATGACCTTTTATTCTGGAATACCTACAATTCAGATGTTACAGTGCTTTGTTCACAGGAGCAGCCTAGCCTCCAACTCCTCCAGGCTTTTGACTACACCTGCTTTAGCACACTTACATAGACACCCACCCGTCAGCAGGCCAGCCTCCACTGAAGCAAACTGACACCAGGATCTTATATAGAGACTTTCAACCTGCCACCTACACCAGGCCACACAGCTCAGAGCCTTCAGAAGGCCCAGAGACCATCCTCCTCTCTGTGTCACCCCATCCTGGCACAGGGACCCCCAGCCACCTACCTCTGTAGAAAACACTCTACCCACCTCCCGCTATTCTCCTTCCAACCCTTTTTCCTGTGGCTTCTAGAACCTACATTCCAGTGTAAACAAATTCTCCACCACAAACTGCTTCCCAGAATGTTCAGATCATCATCTTTTTTCTGTAGCAGTCTGTCTCTGACTGAAATGTGTCCCTTAAAGCTCTGTCACGATGCTCATTTCTATCGATCTGTTCTTTGAGCTTGGTGAACCCAAGTCTAGTGTCTCAGCCTCTCTTCCCTCTGTCTTCATTCCCTTGCCAATCTACCAAACTCTATGAGCCAAATCACTTCATCCAATCCACTCTCAAGTGAACTCCAACTCATTTGGCCCCTTCTCAAATAATGCAGAAGATCATAAAACGAAAAACAAAATAACATGCACAGTAACATCTTGAGTTTGGTGTGCATTCCTAACAAAATAGTTTGTTGTATATAAACGTAAGTGGGACCAACCATACACTGTTCTGTAATCAATCACCTGTTCACACCTAATACAGACACCGTGACATCTTTTGAAGTCATTACATGTGACATCATCCTCACCATCCTCTGTATATCTACACAGAACTCCACTGCACCGTGCCCCAACGTGCCTGGTTTACTTAACACACTTTTGATGGTTATTTTGATTGCTTCTAACTTCTTGCTATCATAAATAACGTTGCAGTGAACAATCCCAGTATATACAACTGTTACCTTAGCTGCTTCCCCCTAGACATGTAATTATAATCTTTAGGGGTGGTACCCAGACATATGGATTTTGAAACAGACCCCTAGAGAATTCTAAGCCCTCTGCAGGGGTCAGGGGTTGGGGGATGTTCCTACTTTGAGACATTAAGGAAGTAAAATAATAGGCTCATTTTTAAAAAAAGCTTTATTTTTCACTTTTGCTAACTTTACAAACACAAAGTTCTGTTAAAAGTTAGGTGAATTACAAGGTCTCAATATTTGGAAAAAAATTTTTTTTAAAAATACATAAAATCCTAAAGTGCTGGCAATATTAGTCATTTCTACTAGACTAATAGCCATTTAATACATTTGTTTATTTAAAAAAGAAACTACTAATCTCAAAGAAAGGCATGAATGCATTTTAGCTAGTTAATATACTTCAAATTAGAAATGTCCTTGAAATGTCCTAAAATTCCTTCTATAATAAGAGAAGAAACAGCTGTATTTTCTTATGATGCTTAGAGAAAATATAACTAGTGTTATAATAGCTTTTATACATGGCAAATAGTAACAGAATGCAAACACTGCAAAATGACAGAACATAAACAAACATAACATATAATACATCCTATGTAACATACATTTGATACAGAAGTTTAGACAACTGTGTTAATGACAAGCAAGATAAGTGCACTAACATGATTAAAACATCAAATATAAAAAACTTGAAAGATCAACCACTGTAGCCTTGAGACTTAAAATAATAGATAACCAAAGCCGGGCTCACATCAAAGGAAAGATATTTCAAACATGCTAAGCAAAATAGTGATTTTTCATATATATATATAATGAATGTATATAGCAAATAGTTTAAATATTTAAACTATCAAATATATATATATATATATATATATATATGTATGTATATAGCAAATAGTTTAAAATGGATATATCACATACAATCTGAAAATCCAGAAGCAGCTACAGATCATATCATCCTAACTCCAATACTTCCCCAGTCTGCACATTATTTTATTTAAAATTTAGTTTCTGAATTTGAAGAAAAAAACATTTAGAATACAACAGAAAGACTACTTAATAGAATACGATCCCTTCAATGCCATAAAATACATAACATTCAAGTTGAGTGTAGACTAACAATGCTTTACACCAAGAAATAACTGTTTGCAACTCAGGATGTGCTCTTCCACGTGTTTGCACCAGTAGTATGTGACAGTGGATGAGGAGAGGAACATTAATGAACCACAACCCTGGTCTAGGAGAAGACCAGGTTCTAGGCCCACCATGAGCACAAGCCACCCTCTGACTCAAAGGAAAAGCTGTCAACTCTCCCTAGATCTCGGTTTTTACATAAAACTACCAACGAGGATAGGGAATGTAAAGAAGTCTTAGAAAGACTACTTTCACATTCCCATGCAGCTCTAAAAGTTTTAAAAAGCATATTGCTATATGGTACTATGCCATCCAACAGTTCTTCTTTAGTAATCAGAGATTAAATTACTTGCTATAATACTTTTAATGTATTCTAACTCTTTAAAATGATAGTCATAGTGCAAAACATGTATGTGCTTTAAGTAACTAGACTGAACTGGAATATCCCATCTCCCAATTAAGTCAAGTAACTGTATTCTATGCTAAAACCTCTCTATTGAGTTTTTATCAGTATCTATCCTCAAAGGTTATTACAGCCAAGTCTTCTCTATAGCCCCCAAGCAGCTCAGAGTCTGAGAGAAGAGACAGACACAAACATAAATAACAATTGCGCATCATAAGAAATAGCTAAAATATTTTACATTTTACATTTTACATGTGAAGCTACCTCTAGGAATCATTTCCCTCGTGTGTCTCACTCAGCCTAGACCACAGGAGAACTCAGCTTACAATAATCTGATCTAAGATTCAGGCACCTGTGAAGCTGAGGAACGAACTGTATCCCATTTTAACCCTGGAAAAATTCTGCAGAATCAAGACTCTAACACAACTAAATATTTGTAAACTTGAAGTCAAGAAACCCATAAGTGTTTACTTGACTTCTGGCAACCTGAAAAAAGAGACTGGTCTATTGCCTGGTCGTGTCAGCAACCAAAACTGGACAATGCTATCAAAGTATTCTAACCCATTGTGGGAGTTCCGATCATTTTCTATGCTCTAAAACAATTAAATATCATAATAATTACAGTTCCTAGGAAGCTTAGAACTCATACATAAAGTCATCAGAAACTGGTATTCTGGGAAAGATGATCTTTTATTATCTTATCTATTTGTTGTGTGTTAAAAGATCCATTTCATCTAAATATTTTAATGTATTAAGCAAAAACTTAGAATATTTGCAAACAATTTTACCTCATTTGCATCTGTGCTTATAGCTTCTTTCTCATTTCTAATATTAGGTATTCTCATTTTCTCTTTAGTTTATTAGTGATAAATCATCTATTTTACTGTTCATTTAAAAAAAGAGTTTATAAAATTACTTTTCAAGTTTACTAGGATTTTGTCTATCTTAAATTGTTTTATACATATTAATTCCTTTCTGCTACTTTCTTTTCACTTTTCTAGCTTTAAGGGTTAAATATTTTACTTATTTGCATTCTTTCTTATTTTTTAATAAAAAATACTCAATGTCTTAGTTTTTCTGACAGCTTTGGTCCATCCAATTTGTTTATATAATGCTCTCATTTGTAACATAAAATTTCAGTTTTAAATCTTTCTTTTCTATATAATTTTGAACAGCTATTTTTTATTAATTTATATTTTCACTGAACTGTAATCAAAGATTATAACCTGTATCAACTTTTGAGAATATGATGAACTTCTTTTCCTGCATATTTGAATGAGTGTGTATTTTAGGGTAAAAGATTACACAAAGCTATTAAAATCACCCTTTTTAAATATGTGCTCAAATCTTCAGTTTCACTGTATTTATTTAACTGATCTAATTGAGGCTCTCTCACTATACTTGAGAATTTGAAAATTACTCCTTTCTTCTAATTGTTTTTGGTTTACATATTTTGATGTTAGGCCCTTAGATACATAAAAGTTCATAACTGTTGATCATGTTATTGGTAGCCTATAACTTATATAAATCTAAAATACCTTTCTATATACCATTTAACCTTTATTTATACTGAATTATATTTAGTCTGATATTAATTTTTCTTATAAACTAGATTATCTTGCCTAGGAAAATGATGAAATACAGAAACTGCATAAAATGCAAATTCACATATAGAATTTAATGAGTACTATAGTTTGAATGTTTGGGTCCCCCCAAAATTCTTACATTGAAACCTTACCTCCAATGTGACAGTAATAAGAGGTGGGGCCTTTGGAGGTGATTAGGTCATGGGCTTAGTGCCCTTATAAAACAGCCCCAGATTGTGCCTGGCCCTTCCTCCCACCACATGAGGTCACAGCCAGCCTCCATCAATGAAGACAAGAGCCTCAGCAGACACTGAATCTGCTAGCACCTTGATCTTGGACTTCCCAGCTTCCAGAACTATGAAAAACAAATTTCTATTATTTATAAACTACCCAGCTTATGGTATTTTTTGTTACAGCAGCCCAAAATAACTATGGCAGTGAGGTTTCTTAAATTTTGTTGTAGTACCTATAAAAATCATTTTTCTGATGACTCTAGTAAGCAGTGTTTTCTTTCTAGTTAGATAACAGAATCATAGTTTGGCTTGATTATAACAACACTGAGCCTAAAAAACTTAAAAGCAGGCAGATTTTTCTTTTTAATCTAAAGATTAAAGCAGTCCAAATAATAATGTCATACACTCCATGGGAATTTCAAGATGAAAACAATGAAGTGCAATGTGTGTTTCACATAAAACCCCTGGTCACCTCTGATGGTTCCACTGAAGCGGAAATGCTTCTCCAAGAAGGACTTACATACTGTCACACATTATATCTCTCTGAACCAAGAACATAATTTGAGCAGTAATTTAGATACAAGTAGGATTTTAATCTTGATAGTGGAACATACCAGCCCATAAAGCAAAACACTGCTTAACAAAGAGTTCATTAATACCATGCCTAAAACTATTTAATTGCATAGACTTAACATGTATATATCCTTCTAAGGGTACCAAAGGAAAGAGTACTTGATAAATTGTACAGACAATCCATCTTACCTAGGTCGGTTATGAGAATCGGTTCTTGCAGAGGAATATCGGTGACTGGAACATTGGTCTTGCCCACACGAACCTTTGTGGGTTTCCGCTGGTGCCTCACCTTCCTTGTTCCTGCATGCTTGAAGTGGGAAGCAATGTGAGTCTTCCTATGGCCTGAGGTTCGAAATTTCTTGTCACAGTGAGGACAAGCAAAAGGTCTAACTCCTAACAAAAATAAGAGCACATTTTGAAATTATTACAAGGAGTTACATCTCAACAACAAATACCAACATAAAATGTCAGTACTTCCAATACTGACTTCAACATTCAGTTTGTTATTCTATGCTTATAATTTCATGAGCATTTTAAATTACAGCTATTTTCTCTTGTTTGTACAGTGCATATTATAGATGTTAAGGCATGTTATAAGAGCATTTTAGTAAAGAAGAACAATAACTATTTTCAGGACAAACCCTAAAATTGTAAGTACGGATATTCAAATACCCAGCAGTTCTTAAGAATTCTGAAGTGGGTAAGACTGCTCTCCCTCAAGTCATCATCTGCAGTCTGGAGTGACGACACGCACCTCCAGAGCTGTTGCTGGGACTGTACTGTACAGCCGTGTTTAAACAGCACTTAGCAGTGCCTCGCACTTCGTGAACAAGTGGTAAATGGTAGTGGTTACTGACTGTAAATAATAGTGATAATAGTAATAATATGTTTTTAATGATGTTGCTCTACTGAGTCCCTTTTCAGAAGGAAATTGCCTTCTTTTACAATTTTATTGATAAATACTGCAGATAACAAATAGACATGTAACAAATTGACAGACATGGAACAAAACTGACTAACTTCAGCTTTTTCAGATACCATCCATGTGGTCAGCCCAACCCAGGATGGGGGGAGAGGGGAGTATGGGGATACTGATAATGAGTACTGGGTTTCTTTGGGGGGGGGGTGATAAAAATGTTCTAAAAGTAGATAGTAGTGGGGGTTGCACAATTCTAAATTGTACAATTTAAAAGGATGAATTTCATGATATGCGAATTATATCTCAATAAGGTGGCTATTTTTAAAATGGAGCCCAAATATTAAAGCCTTCATGCCTTAATACTGATCAAGTATCTCGGTTGGCCGTTTAGCTCAGTTGGTTAGAGTGTGGTGTTGTAACAGCAAGGTCAAGGGTTCAGATCCCTGTACGGGCCGGACGTACCCCTAGCCTCCACCCCCCGACAAAAAAACAAAAGCAAGAAAAATATCAGAGCAGCAGAGTAGTCATTAAGGCCTTCCTTCTTGTTAAAGGCCTCAGTACAAATGCAGCCCTGTTCCGCGCGCCATGCCCTCCCCTGCCCCAGCTAAAACCTGCACAGGTCTTCCCAGATTGCAGATGACGTGTTTCTGCCTTAGAAAAGCTCACTAGTTAAGTCTCCCTTTACCCTCGGCAATTACACATTTGCTTACAAACGGTCCTTGCCGAAAGCCTCCCCCATTTCATCATCAGCTCCATGGAATCGAGGCTGCGCTGCATGTTTTCCTTTACCAGTATATACCTCCTGGCTAGCCTACAGACGGTGGTCCGTAGATGCTCATGGAGAGATAAACCGCAGTCCTCCGACCGCCACCCCACAACCCCCGCCCTCCCTACACCTGCCGTGCCAGAGCTGCGCACCTGTGTGCAGGCGGATGTGCACCTTGAGGCTGCCCGACGTGGAGAAGCTCTTGAGGCAGTACTGGCACTTGAAGGCCTTGATGCCGCTGTGCGTCTTGATGTGCGCCGTCAGCGTGCTCTTGACAGCGAAGGCGCGGAAGCACTGCGCGCACTTGAAGGGCTTCTCGTGCGTGTGGATGCGGATGTGGCGCACCAGGTCGCTGGGCTTGCGGAACTCCTTGGCGCAGTAGGGGCACACGTGCCAGCGCACGCCATTCTCCTCACGCACCGAGCCTGCGGGACACGAGAGGGCAGGTCCGGCGCCGTCCGGGGGTCCTCACCGAGACCCAGGGCGGGGGCTGTTTCCTCCTGCCGCAGCGGCAGCACACACCCGCCAGTCGCCAAAAGCACCGAGGACTGTGGCTTCACCTTGCGGAGAAGCCTAGCAGCCCCGGAAAGGCGCGAGAGCTACCGGGCAAGTGACAGATGCAAACAAAGAGTGACCCGGGGAGATCCGCTCACTCAAGAAGAAAAGCACACGTGGTCAGGCACTTGCAGGACTAACTCAGAGGACGTGATGGAAGGACAAAGTCTGAACAACTAGCTATTAAGCCTATCTGACATCACAAATAAAAAATCATGCAAATGCAAAGAACTAGGAAATGGTAAGTTCTTAAAAGGTAGTTTGTAAATAGTTAATACAAAGAAATAGTATACATGATACCACCGAGTTCATGATCAAATATAAAAGATTCTTTTGTAACTCAATATTATTATTTAACTTTGAATGAAATTTAAAAGTAGTCCTAACAGAATAAAAAAAAAATCACAAATAAAACTTCTGGAAGTATAATCAGTAAAATGATTTCTAAAATATAAAAAAAATTTAAATAAAAGAAATTCAGCAGAATCACTTTTTAGTTTTAAGATTTTTGATTAGATTTATTCACTTAAATTAAAGACACAAACTGTACAGTTTTGTTACAGAAATAGAAAATCTCGTTTCCTTCTGTTTTCAGTAAATACAAAGAATTTTCCATACATGCAAGTGAATCTCTTAAAGGAGAAAATGTTTTTCCCTAATGGAATGTTCTTTGCAAGAATAATTACACAGGAAAGAGAGTTACGTAAAAAAAAAAAAAAAAAAAAAAAAAAAAAAAAAGGGAAAAAAAACTTTAAGTTTTTTTTTAAAAAATTAAAAAAGGGAAAAAAGAAAAAAAAAAAAAAAAAAAAAAAAACCACACCCCCCGGGGGAAAAAAAAAAAAAAAAAAAAAAAAAGTAGAAAACAAGGGAAATGATTTTTAAAGTGAGAGAAAGACATTTATTTTATGGTGATATTGTTTATTTTAAAGAATTCTAATTAAGACTGCTTAAAACTAATAGTTTAAAATTAATTCAGAAATGTACATATTTACCTAAAAGTCTTACTACGACAAATTAAAAAAGCAAGGTATAAAAAGGTATGAGAGAACTATAACATCTGTTAGCTAAAATCAGAAAATCATTCCCAGAAATCAGATTACTTTCCAAAACAAAAATAGAAATATATCTTTAATTTATGTAGGGTGACATAATATGAAACTGTCACCAGACTCTAATGATTTCTGGGAATAGACTGGAACAGACACTACAAACTGGCAGCTGTGCAGCCATCTCCACATCTGGCCTGCATATGTTTTGTTTAGCCCACAAAGTGTTAAAAGAGAAAACTGAATCCAGATTTCCGCCTCTGACAAATGGAAAGATCTGGAAAACCAGAGGTGCATTCCCATATGGCAAGCTTCCCTATAGCTGGGCAATAGCTTTCTCTTCAAACATACTAATAAATTTAGAAAGAGAAAATACATATTATCATCTTCAAGATGCATACAGCATTTGCTGAAACTCAACATCTAGTCTTAACTTTAAAAACAAAATGCCCCAAAACAGGAAGAGATGAATAAAATGTATCAATACAACATTCAACTTAATGGGAAAATACTAAAAGTAATATTAAAACCAGGGGGAAAAGTCCACTATGACTACCATTAATTTATAATGTTCTAGAGATGCTGTTCAAAGAAATTAGACAAGGTAAAGAAATACACTGTGTAAACTAGAAATGAAAATGTAAAAATCGTTATTTACCTATAATACAATTGTATAATTTTAAAAACCTAGAACTCAGAAATATGCCCAAGTTTTAACACATGAAAATCAATACCTTTTCTATCTACAAACATCCAGAAGAAAATTTTTAACTACTACTGAAATATGAAAGAAAAAAAAGGGAAAAAGATAAATAAATGGAAACACTGTTCTTTGGTACAAAGGCTAAAAGTTATAAAGACATCAATTCTCCTTGGTTTAATTTATCACTTACATACAGACTTCTCTTGGAACTTAAAGTGTTTGGAACTTTAGCACAAGATTTTAAAGTGCATCTGAAAAAAATAAATATGTGAAAATAGTCAAGAATACACTTTTAAAAAAGAGTATTAACAGAGGGCTAGGCTTCATAGTAGTAAAGTACACTACAAAGGTAACAGAGTACTCTATAAAGCTAAAATCATTTGGTACCAGAACTCATGAATAAAAAGACAGATTAGTGGATTAGAGAATAGAGTCCAGAAAAGACCCAACTAGATTTGGGAGTGTGATGTATGATAAAGGTAGAACTGCATTTCAGTGGAAAAAAATATGACTTACTTTAACAAATAGTATTTGGACACCTGAATAAAAATAAATGTGCATCAAAGATTTATTTTAGAACATGTAAGTATAAAAGTGCTAGGTAAAAGAAGAGCTTGTGTTTCCATAATGTCAGTGCTGATGTCTAAATATCACACAAGAGCAAAGTCACAAAACATTGACAAATATAGCTATATAAAAACAAAACATTTCTCCCCAGTTAAAAAAGGTTTTTTAATTCAAAAGAGTGAACAAATTAGGAAAAAAAATGTATCCCACAAATATACTTCATAAAACTATCTTTCATATATCATAGCCAATAGAAATCAAGAATTAGTCTAAGAAAAATATAGGTGCTCTTTTAACATGAAAAGCTTTCAACATTACTCCTTCTAAGAGAAATAGAAATAGAAACTACAATAAGATACCATTTTTAACCTATGAGATGAGTAAAAAGTCCCCAAATTTTGGTAACTATCTCTTGAAAAGGTTGTGAGGAAACAGTGATCCCATACATTGTAGCTGGGAGTGTAAATCCACAAAACTCAATGAAAGGATATCGTTAAGTATCAAAATTTAAGTATGTACAACATTTTTCTTTTATTATCAAGCACATTGCTGACACAAATACTGAAATCTTAATAAGGTCTATAGATTGGACAATAGCATTGGGACAAGTTTGATTTCCTGATGTTAGCAATTGTACTATCCTTGGTTTTAGGAAATACATGCTAAAGAATTTAGGGTTAAAGGGGTATAATATCTGTAAGTCACTCAGAAAATTCAGGAAAAAATAGGTAAATAGAGAAAACAAGTATAGTAAAATGTTAACATTTGGAGGAATCTGGATGAAAGATATGTGAGAACTCCTCGTATTATTTTTGAAACATTTCTGTTAAGATTAAAATTATTTTAAAATTAAAAGCTTAAAATGAAATCTTTATAGAATTTACCCTTTGAAACCTTTGAATGTACCCTACAGATAAATTTGCATGTGTGAAATGACATAGCTAAAAACATATTCACTGCAGCGCTGTTTATGTTACAAATGATTGCAAATGACCTAAGTGTCCATTTATTTAATCAACACAGGTTGAGCACTCTCATCTGAAAATCTGAAACCCTAAATACTCCAAAATCTGAAACTTTTTGAGCACAGACATGATGCCCCAAGTGGAAAATTCCACACCTGATCTCCTCTGATAGGCTGCAGTCAAAACACAAATGTCTCCATGGGAAAAGAGACCCTCCCAGCCTCCTTCGGCTGTAATACATCTTTAGACTCCCCTACACAAGCATGCATACAAAGGGCACTAAGAAGGCAGGCGTGCAGGCTGGACATGCCAACAGCAGGCTCCTCATGATGCTCCACCTGGGGCCAAGACCTATGTGCATTACCCACTGTGTGTTTTTTGCTTATTCTATGCTCTGTGGTATAAAAACATTGCCAAAAATGTCAAAAAGGCCTGCAGATACCCCTGTGGGTAACAGTGATAAGGAAACAAGGAAGCATTTATGTCTGTCTATGATGCAGAAAGTCAAGCTGTTGGAGAGCCTGGACGGCAATATGAGTGTGGAATGTCATACAGAAGGGGATGGCCACCATATATGACCCGAAGAAACAGAGGGATGATCTGTTCAGTTCTACGTTGAAAATGATGAGCAGAAGTTAATAAAAAACAGAAAACACTACATAACACAAGAGATAAAGATCTCCATGTTGTATTGAAAGGGAGGATCTGTCAGCACAGCAGTAAACACGTGCACTAGGTGACAGGATGACCATGAAATAGCAAAGATCTATCACACTGAACTAAAAACTGAAGGGAACTGTGGATATTCAACAGGCTGGTTACAAAAATTTAAGATGACACGGCATTACATTTTTAAAAATTTGCAGTGAAGAAGCATCTGCTAATCACAAAGTTCTTAACACATTCATGGACTGATAGTGAAAGCGCCAAAATGCTTCTGAATCAAGGTAATCATGGTAATAGTGACATGAAGATGACAGTGTTAGCACTGCGGAAAAGGTGCCCATAAACATGGTAAACATGTGTGATAGGCTTACTGAAGGACTACAGCAGCATGTGTTCATAACAACATGAAATCACATCAGTTTATAAAAGTAAAGGGATTCTTCCAAGATAAAAACCTTTGTTAATGAGGCAAATGGCTCTGGAGAGAACATTTAACAAGCTATGCAAGCAGGTGCCCCCAAATCCCTACAGGACCCACTTGCTGGTGCCCCAACTGCTTCTGGTGCTTCTTCTCATCTAAAAAATAAAATGCCATGTACGGTAACCTCATCAGAACACGGCATCGTAGGTCAAGGCTGAAAGCCTGTGCTGTTTGGTGCAGCTGCATAACAGCCAATGCAGCTCTTCTGGTGATGCTACTTTGCTGCTCACTGACCCTGAATGCATTTTTTTCTCTGTATTGACAGTGTGTCATGTTTTTCACTGTTAAATATGTATGTGTGAATAAGTGTAAGAAAATGCTTATAGGTAGCATATAAATTCAGAGTCAGCAGAGGTGTGACTCATTCACTCCCTCCACCCTCCCCCATCCCTTAATGAAGAAACAGGCCTGAAACCCAATGGGTAAAAGTCCTGCGCCATCC